CCTTCACACCGCCCCTCCATCGACTTAGCGCCCCTTCCCATCTGGCTGCCTCTTCCCGCCTCTCCCTTCGTCCTTGTTGGCCCCGTGGCTCCCGCTCTCCCCACCTCCCCTCCGGATAACATGTCGTTTGAGTTCCTGCTCTCTGAGGAGGACCGCGAGATTGCGCTGGCCCTAGAGCGGGAACGCTTTTCCTCCGGATCGGGCTCCCCACACCCCCTCTCGCTGGCGATTGATAAGCATCTGGACCGGCTGTCGCTCGAGGACTTCCGCTTCTTCGGCGACCATGCAAGCTCCCATGGCGCCTCCGACCCCGGGGCCGATGGGTTTCTCTTCTCCGAGTACACCCTGAAGACAATGGTGTGGCCCGGGTGCGCGGCCGGACGCGACCCTGTTGAGCCCATGCCCATTCAGGTGGTTTCCCAGAACGCCAACGGGCCCTGCCCGATGATTTCGGCTGGTACGCGCCAATCTGTCCCGGTGGGGGCAGAGGGAAGGCGTGAGCACACGCATACACGCACGCACGCACGCACGCACATAAGGCGTTCACTCTTTGGGGCCGTGTCCTTTGTTGAGCCCCTCACCCGATGTTGACTTCCTTCGCCTGGTCCCCAGCAAATGCCCTCATTCTGCAGGGACGCCTGTCGATCCCTCCCGGATTCAACTCCATTCCCGCTACGGACCTGGCTAAGCTGGTGTTTGACATCGCCCGGCGCTTCCTCTCGAAGAAGGTAAGCCGGCCAGTCGTTTCTGACAGCTCCCCGCCCCCTCTCCCTCCTTGCTGCCTCTTCTCTCCAACATGTGATTGACCCTGCTCGGCCTCGCCCCTTCCCCCGATGGCCCATCCGTGCACTCCAGCACTCGATTCCCCTGGATAACAACACCCTGCGCTCTTGCCGCGACTCGCTCTTCTCTGGAGCCCACATCCAGAGCGACTACGTGCCGGACCACTTCCTGCAGTACCTGCTGGAGTTGCAAGCGGCACACGAGGCCATTCGCAAATCCATCCGTGGCCTGGACATCGACTTGGTATTCGACCAGTGCGTCGGCCATGCCCTTCGCAGATCCCCAACCAACAATGTCATGCTTAACCTTCTTCGCTCCTCCATTGCCCCTCACTTGCACTCGTGCCACATTCAGCGTCAAGGAGTTCAAGGAGTCCGACGCGCGGTTTTTCTTTGAAATCCTGGAACTCCCGCTGTTCCACGCGTGGATTCCCCAATCGCTGCCGAAGAACCTGTCCTCCGGCGAGCTGTCCCAGGAAAAGATCGACCACCTGTCGCAAATTGAGGCCCTCCGGGGCCGGAGCTACAATGACATCCAAAACATCATCGTGTCCGCATCAAGCAGCGAGGACCTGGCACTGAAGTATCAGGGTGCGCAGACATGCCCGAGTGGCTCCAGCGTCGCGGGCCGACCATGCTGACCTTTGGCCTTCTTTCCCCGTGTTCTTGTTTCTTTCTCCCCCCCCACCCCTCCCCACCGGCCGCCTTCTCTCCCTTGCCTCTTGCCATGCCAGCCAAGGTGCTGCAGAACTTCCTTGTGGCCAGCTCCTCGCAGATGACGACCCAGGGCCTGCGGCAGGTTATCAGCTGTCTGCTGGACTTCTGCAGCTGGCCGCCGTGGGTGCGCGCGGCGCACGCCTTCCAATTCTCGACCACCACGCGTCAAGTCCAGCCCACCCGCCTGCCGGAATCCCCCCATGCCACGCTTCACCTGCCAGTGGGGGTACTTTTCTGGAACAACCACTTCCTGACGGTGGTCCGATTCAACAAGACCCTTTATTCCCTGCTCTCGGACGAGGGCTACGCCAATGAGGTGACCGTGTGCGTAGGCTCTCCTCTCTATCAGGGCGAGGGGGGGGGGGGCGATGAGTAGAAGCAATCGCGTCTCCATCCTCCCTCCTTCTCTCCTCCCCTCTCCTCTTCCTCCCCCCCCTCTCTTGCATATTCACTGACCTCCGTCTCCTCTCCTCTCCTCTCCTCTGTCAACACCTGTCACACCCAGCTGGCAGAGCGTATCCGCCGATGGCGCAGGGAGCTTGCGTGGGTGGGACTTTTCCGAGCTGTCAGACCTGTAGTTGCCGCCGCTGCTGCCGCCATCACTCATGCGCACGTCGTGGCCGCGGCCCACATCCGAATAAAGATATCCCCCCCCCCCACTCCTCGCCTCCTTCTCCACGCAGCCATACACGCATTAGTCATATATACATGTGTGTGTGTGTGTGTGGATGTCCGTGTCTTATGTGCGCCCGGCAAAGAAACGGGGAGGACGTCTTAGAAAAGGGTGCACATCTATTTCGATTTTTTCGCCAGCTCGCATTGCGATAGCGAGTGCAGTGTACAGAGGGTCTCCAGACCACGCATGACACCAACCAGGTTGGCCCGCTCGCGCTCGAGGGCCTCATTTTGCCGGAGAAGATCAGCGAGCTCGCGCTTCTCGGCATCTTCATTGGCGGCGATCTTGTTCCGGAGCTTGGCCGCCGCACGGCGATTGATCTCTCGGACGTGGCGCTTCTTCTCGCATTGGGTCATCTTGGCGAAGACCGCGCGCGGGCGGCTGGTCGATTGACCTGACCCCGGGGTGCTGGCGGTCGCCGGCGAGGAGCTGGGCGACTCGCCCGCCTGTGGAGAGTCGCCGTCATCGACCGCAGCGGCCGGGGCGCCGGCCAGGCGCGGACGCTTCACATCAGTGCGCCCGCCGTCGGGGCGTTGGCTGGCCATGAGGCTGGGAGCCGGCGCAAAGCAAGGGGAGGCGGTCAGATGCCAAGGGAAAAGTGCGTAAAGGGAGGTGGCTATGCCGGGGGGATGGCACGGCGAAGGGAGGCGGGCGATGTGGGTGATGTGGGTGATGTGGGCGGGGAGAAGGGAGAGGCGGATGGACAGGACGCACAGGAGAAACAGGCGAGGAGAAAGAACACGGGAGGACAGTCAGCGGGGGTGGTGGCAGCCAACAGAGGGAGGATGCACACGTATGGCGGCCGGGCCGTGCGTGTATATTTCGGGAGCGTAAAGTGAGGTGGGGAGGAGGTGATCTGGCGGTGAATCCATGACGTAGTCCCCCTTCTTCTGTGGGGGGGTCGATTTCAGCGCCCCCCCCTCCGCCCCCCCCTGTCTCATGCTCCCCAGCCTGTTGCCTGCTCAGGGATCGATGCGCATCGACGCACGCGTGCCGATTCATGCCTGGCCCCGGGGGCGGATCTGGCCGCAGCACAGAAGAGATGATCGGCACAGCAATCGGCCCGTTTGTCCCGGTGACTGCTTGGGGAGCCGGTCCCCGGCCCGTCCTCCCCCCCCCCTTTGCAATCCTCCCTGTGTGCGTGTGTGCGTACTCGTCCCCCTGGGGGGGGGGGGGGAGGCTGCCCGACCGGCTGGCGGGCCAGTGGAGGGCGTTTTTTCCGTGCCTCGCCCTGACCCCCCCCCCGCGCGTCGTGCCGAGGGGAGGCGGGGGTGGGCGAGTGAGGTGTCCCATCATCTGGTCGGCGGAAGGCCAGGTTCTGGATCTCTGATCACCTGACGCATTCCGCGGACGCCGATTGCGTTGGCATTTCATATTTATTCCCTCTGTCCCAGTTCGACCACATGCTGGGGAAGAGACAGAGGACCCATGCCCACCTCTTGGAACATCTGAACCGATCTCTCTCTGTCTCTCTCTCTCTCTCTCTCTCTCTCTCTCTCTCTCTCTCTGTCTCTCTCTCTCTCTCTTTCTCTTCCGCCTTTCTTGCTTTGCCCAGTGCGCGATCGGGGTCGCCGAGGGGTTTTTCAAGATCTCCCCCCATCGAAGCCAGAGGGCCTGGCTGTTTTACCACCCCTTCCTGTCTATCCCCTCCCCCTCCCTCCCCCCCGACAATCTCAGGCGCACGCCGGGGGCAGCGTGAGACACACGCCTCGCCCTGCCCTGCTGAATTCCCTCCTCTACACACAGCTACAATGAGCTTACTTGCGGCACCGGTCTTGATGCCTACCAGGCAATGTGTTTCCCTTCGGCCGCTAGGGTTCGCTGCCATTCGTTGGGTGTCCTCGCCCGTGCGCTGCATCCACTCGAAGGCCGCAGTCGACACCTCTGCAGATGGCCGTCCTCCCTCCTCGACACCTGGCTCCGCGGCATCCAAGCCGCCCCGGGCCCGGGCTCCACCCCGCCGCCGTGCTGAAGACCACCGAGCCGAGATCATGCGCGCGTCCCTCATACTGGCGCGCTTGTATGCCGCCACGCCGGGCCCCCTGTCGACGGCCGACATCCTGGGAGCCCTGCGCGAGGCAGCCGCCTGGCAGCTGGCCCACCCGGACCACCTGGCTCCCGGGGCCCAGCCCTCCGTCTTGGACTTCCTGCAGGAGAGACCCCCCAATGAGGAGACAGGCCCAGGATCCCCAGGGCAAGCGCCAACGCCCACCATCCTCCCCTGGCCCTTCCTGTCGTCCGGCGCCGCGCGTGAGCTCACCGATCGTGGCATCGATGATACCCTCTTCCGACAGACCATGCGCCGGGACGGCCTAGTGCCGGTGTTTCTGCGCGACCGGCTGCCGCACATCTTCTGGCTAAGCTCGGACAACCCTCTCCTCCATCCGGATGCCCTGGGCACCATGGCTGAAAAGCCACCTGAGAAAACCGAGGAGTAGGGCTTGCGCTGGCTCGCGCCCTACCGCTCCTCCGTTGTATTCCATCTCCCCCTCTTTCTCCTTCCCTTCCTTCTTGTCCTTCTCCCTCCTCTGATCCGAATACATATACATCCTTTCTCATCAAGCCGGCCCCTTGGGCGTCCTTACTCCTTTCTATCTCTCGGCCTTTCTCTCCCCTCGAGGTCGTAATATGCGGGCGCTGACGTGTGCTCTTCCGATCTCTCCTCCGTTGTATTCCATCTCCCCCTCTTTCTCCTTCCCTTCCTTCTTGTCCTTCTCCCTCCTCTGATCCGAATACATATACATCCTTTCTCATCAAGCCGGCCCCTTGGGCGTCCTTACTCCTTTCTATCTCTCGGCCTTTCTCTCCCCTCGAGGTCGTAATATGCGGGCGCTGCTCCCCTCAGATCTACACGCCTCTCTCTCTCTCTCTTTCTCTTCCTCCCTTCTCCATCCCACCTCCCCTCGGTGCCCGACCATTGCCTGCCACCTCCCACACACGGCACAGTCCACTTCCTCCGATGTAGGAGGCGGCATGGGTGTGGACATTATACAAAATCCTGCCCAACATCCCCCCTGCCACTCCCCCCCCCTCCCATTTCCCACAGGGAATGATAGTACCCATGATCGCGTGCGCGAGTGGCGTGAGCGTTCTCCCAAAGCTGCTTCTCGGCTGCTTTTGCGTGCCCATTTTGGTCGCCTGTCCACTCTCTTCCCCGCATTCAACACTTCAATACACAAAAAGCCCGATAAAAACACCCAAAGACCCCG